TCTTATGTAATTTAATATCAACTCATTTGTGAATTTCTGGTGTTACAGACTCCTGCTATGGATGAGTTAAGACTCCCAAGTAGGCCAACTATCATCCATTCATTAATGTGGACTAGGGCTTGACTTACAGAAAGAATGTCCCAGAGAAAATGGTTAAGATTTTAAATTTCTATTTAAATGGAATTCAAGTTTAAATTTTCATGAAAGGGCATTAATTTGCATAAAAACTAATTCCATGAGTATTGCGGGAACACGCTTAAGCTTCTGGAATCTTCCTAAAAAGTAAATATAAGGGTAATTCAAAAGTTTGTGGAAAATTGAATTAACAGATAATATGAATCCTTCCATGAACTTTTTGAAGACCCCTCATACAAGTGAACCACATAAAAGGGAGAAAATTCCAAGTCTGGAAGGTGATATCCTCTTTATTTTAGCATTTACCTTCTCCATGGCTTTTAGGTCCTTGTGGACTCTTTCCACTACAGTGGAAAAAACAAGGTCTAGCTGTCAGGCTCAGACTCAGGATCCCTAGGGCTGATTCCAACCCAAATGAGAATTTAGGCACATTTCCCTTAAAGAAAAACTGACCAGTGAAAATCTTCATTTGCAAAACATGCAAATTAAGACTTGCTTGTTTAGATCACAAAAGTATTCACCATAGGATTGTTTAAATAGAAAACACAGTTACATTTAAAATATTTTATTTCAAGGAGAGATCTATTGTATACATTAAATTTTTAAAAATGAGTTTCTAATTAGAAAAAGAAAGGCTTATAAGATAATGTAACAGTTCATTTCACAATTATATTAATCTTGAACAAATACACCAACAATGTGAAACAAACACTAACTGGTGTATTCTCCAGGGATGTCTTGACTAATGTGCAGTCCTGCCCCTGAGGAGTTTACAGTCTACACAGGGAAAGGGACAGTTAAACAGACCCCACACAGAGGCCGATGGCAGATCAATGAGCCAGCAACTACTTGGCCAATAAATGAGAGTAGTTTAAGCAAAATGTGTTCTTTTTTTCCTTACCATTTTTTAACCTTATAGCTTAAATATCAGGACCATTGCCACCTGATAGACCCAGAAACAAAGTAGACATTCAGTAAGTAAGTAACATTGGGGCAATTAGCAGCATAAATTTTGTTATATTTAATGATACATTCATTAAAATAGCTTAATGGGATAATAAATTCGGTTGTGTGAATTCACCTCTGATGAGCTTTAGAGAAAAGAATTGAGGGACTGGCCAGTTAGCTCACTCACTCGGCAGAACATGGTGCTGATAGCACCAAGGTCAAGGGTTCGGATCCCCGTGCCAGCCAGACCAAAAAAAAAAAAAAA